ATTTGCACTAGTGACCGGTTACTGCGACATTTCGACGCATGGCACTAAAAGTTGCCCGAAACTTGCTCATAGCTGAATCGAGTGTGTGCTGAACGATTCGAGTGATTTTTTGGTCTTGATTAGTGCAAAATCGTTCAGCTGTAGCACCATTTCGGTGCCTAACTGCCACGCCACTCGAAGGAAGCACGAGGGCTGGGATACTGCCAGGTTCCAAAGCCCGGACAGGAGAAGTCGAGATACAGAGGCCGGGTTCGAACCACGGACCTTCCGGTCAGTAAATTCGCGTTCTAACCACTTGGTGCAATCCCAACCTGTTTCACAAAAGGTCACAAGAGAATATTTTCTGCTCCCTACGTCAAAGTGAAAAAAATGTTACTGATTACAAGCTATCATTGCATTCGTTCTTGGATTCAGAATTTGACATGGTCGTGCCCTTATCAGATATAAACAGATATAAACACCGAGGAGATGCTGTGAGCAGGCAGATTTTCGAGCGAAGCACGGTTCACCAAAACGCTTAGTCTTACATTTAGGGAAGATAAAAGTGACTGATAAGGTTGAGGGAATGCAGTTCCCCAGGCTGCAGGAAATGAGTTTTCGGGCATCGACCAAATTCGATCGATACATTGGGGCTATCAGTGAACTGCACTAAATTCCACTCTGACAATGAACTTTCGGATGAGGTTTCCTCCGTTTACCAACAGATTTGAACGTTGCTGAATGCTTGGCACTTGCTTGCTTCTGTTGCACATACTTCTGTTGCTTTTGGTGTGTGTTCTTCATCGGGGGTCTTGTAGCACTTTGTGGGACCATTGTGGTTTCCGCCATTCAGAAAAAACGGCAACATTAAGAACATGTGTACAGATGAAGTCGGACTAAGAATCGAGCTTTCATGCAAAGATGAAATTATTTCTCACTGAGGTAAAGGAATCACTGCTATGCTCGCAAAAGTGAGAATGCCCTAACCCATCTTTATCAGGTGTTCAAGTCTGTCACCTAAATACTGAAGCAAACTAAACTTGTTAGGTGTAAGCACTCTGTTTGGGTAAGAATGACAACACTTTGCATACGACTGTGAAGCAGTTGTCTGAATGAATCGTGTTACAAAGCGAAGTCTATTTGTGCTTTACGTTACGAAAGAAACGTACGTCTGTGAAGCCCATATAAAAGACTCTTTAAGTGGACAAGTAGATATCTCCAACTGCCTTTAAACAACGACCTATAAAAAATCTTTAGAAGGAAAATAGGGAAGTGCTTAGCCAACGATTTGAATAGGGGTTTAAAATAAAACGAGAATGGAAGTTCCAGCATCAATGTGACATTTCTCATTTTTCACGTACACAGTAAATAAGAGAGCAGTTGACGACCGACCCAGGATGAAATTTTCATTACCAGAATGGATCAGGTTTGTGTAACAGCCGGGGTGCTTCCATTGCATGTAAAAATTGAGCGGTGGATAACTACATTTTCAACTAAATCGCTCGACTGAAAATCCTAACCGTAACGCAAATGTGTTCATTGAAAATTTGCCTAGATGTCCTAATTGTGAAGTACATATCACTACATGTGCCCCTTCCCTAACTGAAAGGCTACTAGTAGAAGGCTGCAGAAAATACCATGCAGATGTTACAAACACCAGAACGCCTTCACCACGACACCTCAAAACGAATTTGCCACAACAAAAACTATGAGGAAGTCGAAGTGCGAACTTTTTTTCGAAGCGTAGACACTGAAGTTTACAGGCAGACGGTGTGCCTGTTGCCAACTTCTAGATATTGCTTTGAACCCTAGACAAACAACAGTTTTTCCATATTATGGTTCTATGTAATCTGCTTCCTCGGTCCTCACACCGTAAACTTTCTGGGTTCTGTTCTCAGTGTTACATCAGAGTACACATAAAAGACCAGAATTTTACTACCAGTAGGTGCTAGAACGAAAAAACACAAACGTGATTCACTGCTGACAACTCAATTCAGGTGGTGTTGCCAAACTTTCATTTAGCCCTACCTAAGCTAATTTCCCAGTTGAAAAAGTAATAGGCAAGTTAAAGTACATTTGCCCCAATTACATCACACAATGAGTTTCAGTCATCTAGTCACTCGATGCTGCAGATGATGCAGAATTTTTTCGGAAATTTACAAAGTCTCATGTCAAGGTCGGTCAGCAGATACATTGAAATACATTGAAAATGGAGCGACGAAACAGGGAATAATAGGTAAACGAGGACTCTGGGACTGCAGAATGGGGTCGTAATATGAAAAGTTTGGGAACCTTTGATATTATATCATGAGGCCAGTGGCCAATTGTTACATTGGAATCCGTCTTGATTATCTTCACTTTCCTAGAAACGTCATCGAATCACGTGTCTGGAACCCCATTTCCACAGCATTCAACATCTGAAGCACAGGCTTCATTTTGATACGTCAGTGAAATACCACTATCATGTACATGCGCAAACGACAATTCAGATCGAATCTTCTCGATCTGCTGCTAACTAATTTAGAACTAGAACACGTATCCGAAATGAGGTTACTAAGTCGTCACTGAATACTCTAACTTTGTTACTTTTGAGCAGTTATGACGTGACTCACGCCAAGACAGTTGTGAATAGACCGGTATAGCACACGTATAGTTAGATATCGACTGTCTTCCGTCGGTATCGATTGTTACCAGCTAATCCAAGAGGACTATAAATCGATCTCACACCATACACATTTGCACGACATCAAGGTGTGTGCAGGCGTGCACCTGAGTACAGTTATCGGATTTGAAGGCATGGAATCAGCTTAGTGAGGGTTACGGCAATGTTGCAGAAAAGTACGACTCAATGCTCACTACCGAACGAGTAGTTCATTATTTGTTGTGGACTTCATTTTTCCGACTGAATGATCAATCCTCAAGTTAAACTTGATCATCAGCTTACCAAAGCTGGTCTTGCAAGTAAACTCGAAGAAGTTCAAAATAATTAAAAAACCCATATTGTAACAAAATTCCAGTGTATCTGATGTCTGTGCAAATGAACAGTATTCTGTGAAGTCGAACGTAGCCTAGACATCTACTTTTTACTTGATCTACACCGAATGTAAGATGCTGGGAGCGTCTGGGATGACGTTTAGAAAGCCTCGTTTAAACACACTTACAAGTGACGTGTGATACCTTCTGTTCTTGTCAAACAACGTAAGCTGTTGCATTTTGTAAGTTCCCAGATGGTCAACTGGTTATTCGGAACGTAGGTAATGCAGGGTTCACGAGCTCTCGTGCAAGAACACCTAATGTTGATGAATGCGTTATCAGGATCGAGTTGTTAGTTGTAAACTAACAACGGACCCTTAAAACTAAAAATACCAGCCAGTCATCTGAGAATTTCGAGCTCCTTTGAAACCAAGTAACCTCTTGTACGGGCTTTGAAGCTTCGCCAAAACATCTGTGAGAGTGGTGAAGCCTAAATCGGTGAAATATGTATATAGAAGCCGTTCTACTCGCGACCAGCGAACAAATGATTGATCAGCATACAGGACTACCACACAGCACAACGTGCCCGATCTCCTGTTGGGCTATGACTGCAGAAAAATTTCGTGGGAATAAATCTGGGATCCGGGTGAATAAAACCACCAAACAGCTCAAATGAATCTCGGGTGAGTTGAAATGTGTTAAGCAACAGAAGGAAGTAACGTGAAATGAAGTGTTGTCCTTTTGGGCCACAGCTGGGTTTCTGTATAGTGACCACAGTGCATCATCATAAGGATCCTGCAATTCGATGAGAACCAAATTGATTTAGCTACTAGTTTGCTACTTTAAACGCCACATAAGGTTGTAAGGCAGCTATTTACATGTGGCCGACTTTCCCAGCCCCATAATTGTTTTGACCAAGTATGTCTACAAACGGTTTGCGCAAATTGTTTAAACTGAAGCAAAAATAGTTTAGCAACGCACTACTCATAAGGTTGCTGAAAACTACTCGACAGCCCACCCTTCTTGGGGCTCATCAGGTAGGTGCAGTCCCCGAATTTCCGTCAACCTTATGTTCTAGCGACTGAAACATGAGGCGGCCTGGTGCAGCACATTCGGCTGACTGGAGACGTCAAATCTGTGTGATTCAGCTGGGTTCCAGGTGAGTCTTTCGCAAAACCAAATTAGCTTGCAAATGAGTGTATTTCAAAAATAATTTACTTTTAAATAAGTCTATCATATTTCAGGCATGGAAACCCTTTAGGTTTTGAAAAATGACAGAGGAAGACCGAATCATTACTAGCAGTCTAGTAATTGTGTACTAGTTTGAAGAAGAGATATCAATCCCAAAGTTCTGTTAGTCATGTCCTGGTTCCGATCAGTGCACTCACCAAAACATGTCAAATTCGGTTCCCGCTATATATTTCCAAAACCACAGTTTATTCGTCCCAACCACCACCTAGTCATTTTAGGAAGGCAATTTCCTCTGGCTGTTCTATTGATTCTGCGCAAAGCAGGGCTTTACTGCCTACTTGTTTTCGGGACAATTACGAAATCTGTTTTCACAATTCCAAAATTCTTTTCAGTTAAAACAACAAAGCCATTTCGCTGTGATAGCGGGCACTAATTTTCTTGGACGAACCTTATTACAGTCGGTGGAAAACTACTCTTACTGCTAGGGTGTGAACATAACTTTGCTCTGCAGACTGCTGTCTTGTTTCGTACTCGTCAAGCTAATGACTGAAAGCTTATGCCTCACAAAATAAGTGAAGCCTGGTCTTAATACATATTGTACATAGTGATGTCTCATGAAATCCTAGCTCCATGTTCAGTACAACGTTTCATACACCTTCACGCAATTTCCTATAGCTTTCCTTATGTTTCGCAACCATACCGTGCGAGTTCAACTCCCGTTTCATTTATACAATGCTTGAAGGGACTTATTTTCTGTTTACCCATTTTTGATAAGCATAGAGTGCGCTGGCTGCAAATCAATACCGAAATGTGTCTTTTGAACACTGACTTGACAAGAGTGGTTAACAAATACTTACCCCAGTCCGCTTCGAAAAACAAGAAAGTTTTTGTCCCATGATTCAAAAGTTTAAATAAATCCGTACTAAATTATTCGATGGATTGCCTCGCCGACGGTACGAAATGTAGGCCAAGGTAATCACGACGGAATTATCCACGCTGAAAGTAACGTGTTTCTGGCTTTCTGGTTCGTGCAGCGATTCGACTAAGATAGCACTTGCTTCTGACCCGCCCGACAGTCAGCCACGCCTCGTCAAACCCCACTGCTATTGGCTGATTATTGTGCGTTAGTGCTGGTCTGTTTGAATGCGCGTCTGTGTGCATGTGGATGGCTCATGTTCGGTTGGACCAATGGCTAAGCGAGCACGTACGCACGCCTCTGTACACACAGTGCGGCCGGCACGTGGCCTTCGGATAGACGCCAGTACGTCAAGGAGGGCGAATGCTACTCCAGCCTGACCATACTGTGTGGTGGATAATCCATGTGCGATTGTGCTGACGGACAGTGGCGACAATAACCCGGGGACTAGTTACTTCACAGGTAAATGACAAATTTCAAACGGAATTATTGTACGGTCTGATGCCTTTAACGATGGACCAGGGCGTGTCATGCCTACAGTGTTGGTTAGGGCACCAATCAATGTGGAGCGCATAAGTTGTAATCAAAAGGATTCGAAATGGTCTCTTCAGGAAGTACATATAGGAATAATATGGGGACCCAAATAAAGAACAAAGTGTGGTGCAATCAGCTCATCCTTTTATGTTGAGCTTATGCTGTGTCTTGAAAGCTATTGAATGAGGATTGACGGGAATCATAAACGGACGCAGCTTCGTTTGGGAGACACCTATGGCGTCAGAATGGTTTATCCCTGAATGAATCGGGACGCGTGTATCAAGCTACAGTACGGGCTGTTCTGTTGTATGGCTGTGAGACTTGGCCTATTCGAGCAGCGGACCTGAGACGTCTTCAGGTGTTCGACAATCGTTGT